ATTAAAAAAAACACCTAATATTGATAGTGGATCAAATTATATGGTAAGTGGCTATTTGAAGGTGATTGATCATCAAGTACAGAAGATTGATGAACGAGAACTCAATGAAGCGCATTAGAGTGAGAAAATGGTCTATGAGGTCAATCAGAATGGTAATGATATAATGGTTGATAGAAAAGAGACCATTGAATTAAAACAAATGTTGCAACTGTTATGTGCTAGATTGATTGAGTTTCCCAAAATCAAAGTTTGATTTACTAATTCTTCTATTGAAAAAATGCCAGAACCAGGTAGTCCAATTTTTTTGATCAATCCTTTAACTGCAAATGCTGGACAACATAGTGGGGATGTATATGAGAATGTTTGTCCAATGGTACATACTCTAATATACCTTTGGGGCCAAAAAGGGTATATTAGACAAGGATAATTTATTTCCAAAATGTTGCATTTAATTGCACGATGTATTTGTTGACCCAATATTTTAATTAAGCTGCAAATGCTCCTGTCACACCCGGAGAGCATGCCCCAGATGTGACCGGTGTCACCGTTCTCTCAGAGGACTCAGACAAGACTTTAGCATTCATGATAACATGTGATCAGTAAAAATTGTGGAAAATTAAAAATTTTACTTTCTACTTGAAATATACTCAGACTTCCTACTGAACATCCGTAAAAAATATGATATTCTTAAAATTTGTCTCAAACATATTAAAACCATCTAAGATTACAAATTTGGACTTAGCCAATAAATAGTAAATATGCCATACAAGGCTTAGTACAAAAGAATCCAGAAATCATATGGAAATATCGTATTCCTAAAACTACTAAAATCTGCCTAAGCTAGAATATGGAAAAGATAGCATCCCCGAACATTGAGGACCTACCAAGACTTGGAGAAAGAGTTCCAAGCTTCTTCAAATCTACCTACTTAATGAAATGCATGAAAAAGGATCATTTATCGTTTCTTTAGAAAACATGCTAAGTCATGTGAATGTCTTCAATGCACATACCATAGATCATATACAAGTTAAGGACTTCTCATCATACAACATGATCATAATCAAGGCTTATTATCACAGAGTCATGTTAAAAATTCAGTTTAAAAGATCATAAAAGATAACATACAAAACCCTTAGAAATGATCCCATCCCCAACCTACAAGTGCGATGGGCATGTGAAGCCCCATAACCCCACACAACCATGTAGGTAAGATAGGAGACCATGAGTAAAGTTTTGCTTCATATAACTTATTACATAATTAGTCATCACTCCATATAGAAACATAACCCAATAACATCTTCATCATAATGACTAACATCACATAAGAATAATATCATGTATCATAAGCATATATCTTTTATGTTATAATATTATATAAGAACAATCTTCTAGAACTTCCATTATAATCAACTCGTTTAATAGCTAGGTAGAGTTTCATACCCTATCTCTACTAAGTAGACTCCTAAAGTCACCCTCGTCACTGTTCAATTACTTGTATTTTTTTACATGAGGGAACATTCACCTTTACCGACATAAACCATGTGAATTAAACATGGAATCCGGTATCACAAAACCTCACACAAAAAGAAGGTTGTCTACAATCCAAAGTAGAACCTAACATGACTTATATTTCTAGGTGGATCCACTAGATAGAATCCTATGGTGGTAACATAGTTCAAGAACTAGGATATGTATTAGAGACCCATGATTCCACATTTCATGGCAACCTCTATCTCATGATAGTCACTGTGAACCTACCTTACAACTAGGGAAGGGACAACTCTCATATCTAGTTCATCGGTGCTTAGTTTAAGTCCCTTTCTTGAATAACCTTTAACTTGTCTTTTAGAATAAACTCATCATAGGTCATAGGAGATTAAATCGTTGTATAAACATAATCATGAGTCTTTATAATTTGATGGGAATTTCGTTTCATCTCTCTCTCACGTCTCTATCACTATCACTCATGATTATCTCTGCCAAATAACTTCAAAAAAAATAGTAGGTAACCAAAAGTACTTCACACTTGAAGAACTCACAACGAAAATATAAGAAAAAAACAACATCAATCACGTAGGTAAAGAGAAGAATTTGGGCAGCAAGTCAAAGTTTAAACGTCATAAAAGGTATGGGTTTTCTTCCTCTTGGTTCCTTTCCCAAGAGAACCTTAAGGCTCAGATGAATCTACTCGAAATCTAGGGTTGTTCCAATTCTTATCGAACTCCTTGTCCTTGGTATTCCTTTGATCTCAGTGTGAAATAGGTTAGAGATCATGTTGTTTGTATGTTTGTTGTAAGTTTAAGTATGAAGTTTTATTTTCGTGATAATGTGTTCTTGATTATGTGTTTGGAATTGAAAGCATGTTAAGTTATGTCAACTGAAAGTATGTGAAAATGTTTTTATGGTTGAATTTTATGTGCGAATGTTTTTTATAAATCATGAGGTGTAAAAGTATTGTAATGTTGCTAGATTAAATGGTTATTCTTGTCTGAATATAATCATAAAAATATTATACTTAAAGATGCACCAAATGATCCACAAAATGCCTTAAGAATTAACGTATGAACGATGATTAAAAGAAGTTGAAAATAATGAACAAATTTCCAGCATTTGGTAGGTTTGGTTCAGCAAAACAAAATGGTACAAAATGCAATGACAAAGAAATGTAAAATAAGTGAGATCACTAAGGATTTAACCCAACACATCATTACATAAAAGCTACAAAAAAAATCAACAAAAGATTAAGACAAAAATAGATTGAAAGAGACTTTTTTTCCAGCCTGCTGGAAATTGTAGTCTCGGACAACTTTAAAAAAAATCAGATTCGTTTAAAATTTTTTAAAAATGTGAGGTCATTGGGGATGGAAACCACGACCTCACTAAATGAAAATTTCTAAAAATTTTGTCAGAAAAATGCAAGGAAAAATAGATGTGGTGAGTGGGGATTGAACTACAACCTCTTGAATGGATGAAAGAGTTAGAAGGAAAAAAAGGAGAAAATAAATGTAGACAGTGGAATTAAACCAACAACCTCTTGGATAGGTGAGAAAGCTAAGAGATAAAATAAAAGAAAAATAAATAGCTTGTGGGGGATTGAACCCACAACCTCCCTGACTTAAACAAAAAAGGTGAGGAGAAAAAGTATGTAAATATTATGGGGTTATAAGGATCGAACTAGAGTCCCCCAAATCTGAAAAATGCGATTATCAAGTTTGAAATAAAATTAAGTGTTGTCCAAGGGATTCGAAATTGGGTTCCGTTCCCAATTCCATATTGACACATAAGTCATACGTAAGTAAACATTTAATAAATGCAACCTCTAAAGATCGAAATCAATATCTAGGTATCTCTACAAGAAGCATAAGTCTTGTACTACATAATCTTTGGTAAATATGAATCACTTAGACAAACTATGAATGAATCCCCATGGCTTGTATGTATAGACCCATAAGTCTAGCATACATTTAAAAGTAAGTGAACCTAAGATGTATGTGATAAAATGATTAAACCCTAGAAGGGTTAAGTACGAGTGTAAAATACACTAAATGTCCAAGTGCATTGGCATATGATGAAAGTTACAATGAAATGATGAAATGAACAATTAAATAATGAAAAGAACAATGAAATGATGAAATCCTAGAAGGGTTAAGTAAGAGTGTGAAACACACCAAATGGACAAGTGTATTCACATATGATGAAATGAACATTAACATTAAAAAGGGATGAGTAACTATGATGAGCAAATGTGCTAATGATTATGAATGTGGTTACAACATGATATGAGGCTAATGTAAAATAAGAGAGCAATCTCAAATAAGCCTAAGTAAATGTTACCAAAACGTACTCACCTATGAGAGTGTAAAGTTAGTGAAGAGATCAGTCTCTATGAACACTCTAATGAAAGTACTGATATTAACAGACATAATACTAATGATGAGATGAGAAATCATATATTGAGTAATGATGTACTCATACAAGAAGCCAGCCTCAATGATGTATGAGTTGAATGTAATGGAACTTTATACTAAGCACCGATAGACTAGCTATGAGCGGTGATGCCTTCTTTCGGGAAGGGCGGAGGTTCACGTAGCTATCATGCAATGATATTGTTCGGTATGCCAGGCATGGGTCTTCCTATATATCCTACTCTTCGAACCTATACTGCCAATATAGGGATCTGGCGGGGTTCAATTCCCACGTACGTTAGCATGTTTTGGGTAACTTTGGTCGGTAATTCTACCTCTTTTCTGTGTGGGGTTTCATGACCCTTGATTTCATGATGCTTACGTAATCTATGTCGGTTAAAGTCAATGTTATCAATGAATGAATGAGGATAGCCTCAAATGATGTACATAATGAAATGAATGATACCAAAGGTGTTAGGATAAGATAATCAAGAGGTGAGTAAGATTAAAATAATGACATTAGGTCATTCTTGGTCATTGCACAACGAACCCGATGAAAGCCTTAAACTACATCCGAGGTATAGCTGGTGTTACATTGGCCAATGAATGAAATGAAATGAAGTACGTATGAATGAATGAAACTGACCCTGTGTTTGCTAAAGTAGACTGCCTAATTGAGGTCCCATATGTTGAGCCCTCAATTTTGGGAAGTCTTAATGTCAAGTCCATGATTCAAAAGTCTCATCGCATACAAATGAATTATATGAACAACGATATGGGTTATATGACTTATGATATGTGCTATGTGTACGCTGTTATGTGTTGTGTGCAAAATGTTAAGTATGATGATGCATATTACTCTCATGGCATAACTTTCCTAATCCAAATTTGGAAAGCTCATAAACTTTCCTAATCCAAATTTGGAAAGCACACTCACTTTCCTAATGTCAATTTGGCAAGTCCACTGACTTGACCTTTTACAATCATGTTGTTAGGAAAGAGCTATTCTTACTCATGAATGTCCTTGGTGTGTGCTTGCATATATCCATACTTAGTACAAGTGTGTACTAACCCTATACATTTTTAAATTTTTAGGTGCAGGCACAGGTTGATGCTAGAGCTACAGGATCATTCATCCAGACATGGTAGGCCCTCATGCTTTCGAGTATGCTTGCCCATTATATTCTATCTGAGTTATAGGATTGATCTAGTGCAGTATGTTCAACTAGCGTTTCTTTCCGTTTTTGTTCAGACATTGTATTGGTGCCATTTTTTAACTATACACTTAATGTGATATTAAACTATTTCTTTCATTGATGATATTAATGTTATATGATTAATGGTGAACAATTATGAATCTAAAAGAATAATTAGTATGTATGTTAAGGAATAAAAGTTTCAAATTATTCGCTAAAATTAACCTAGACGAAGTAAGAATGACGTAAGTAGGATTGTCTGCGATCTCTAAGAGTCCAACGACACCGGTCTCGTATGGGGTCTAGACTCCGGTCGTGACAAAGTTGGTATCAGAGCACTAGGTTAAATTCAGAGGATAATAAGTTCACATCAACCACATTGAGTAGTTTCTAAGAAATGGTAGTGAAGTGTACCACTATTCTTAATTAGAGACTGCATGATGCGTAGGAAAATTCCCTTCTTCTGATCTTATTGTTCCTTCTCTAATGTCTGTTTCTTTGTGTTAAGAGCGTATCTAACATCAACTCTTAAGAATCAAATTGATGAATACGAGGAGAAAAGAAGGCTAATCAACAAGGTGTTTTTAGAGAGAACCCACCTGCCAGCACCATAGATAGCAGGTTAAGGGACTTCACGAGGATTAATCCTCCCGTTTACACTATATCTAAGATGTTGAGAATCTCGAGGAGGAGTGTAGGGCAGCTATGTTGAATGCCAGCATGGGCCTTTCCAGGCTTATGGTCCATGTCCATCAAGTGCAGAAAAACAGGAATAGAAAACATACTACGGTAGGGAAAAGGTCAAGACAAGCTTAGAAGAATTTTTCAAGGAAGATTAGTACTGAAATAAGGGATAATCCCAGATTTAAGAAGGGACTCTCCCACCAAGTGGAGTCAAGTTCTTCCAAGGATCGATATGATAGGGATTCCAAGCCCAGAGTTAAGAGTAGGAAGTGTGTCAAACTTCATGGAGGAGACTCTATGAGGGTCTCTAATGCTTGTTAGATTCATACCAAACTGGGTCACATCGTGTAGGATTGTCCGAATAGTAGAAGTCAAGAACAAGTAAAGGAGAGATTTCAACCTAATGGTCCAAGTGAAGAGGCTCCAAGGAGGCAACAATTCTTTGAACTCAAGTCTAGGGGTGCTGGGGAAGGTACCTCTGGTGAAGTCTAGGGTGCGTAGCCTTAATTAGTCTTTCATGAATTTGATTATGTATGGTTATAAAGTACTAGAATTAAGTTAATTTGTTTGAGTATTCATGTTGGTTGCTTAATTGTATGAATTGCATGTTTACTTATGTTTTATGCTTCGATGCGACTAGTTTAGGAAAGAGTTCCGTAGTCTATTAATGTAAAGCTACTATTAGGTTTCAAGGATGTGCACCATCATGTTTATATGTTAATCAGATATTCACCAATGGGGAGTATTGAATAACCTATGTATGCATACATTCTATAGAGGCCTTACTTATTAGTAGTAAAGAGTAGTGTCATTCGTGGACGAATGTTCCTAAGGGGAGGATAATGTAACAACCCTAAAAATGGATATAGTAGGTGATACTTAATGTGTCAAGAATGCCTATGATTAGACCAGTGTTCACACGGATGCGCATAGAACCAAACTTTGGAACCTTTGCTACGTAAATGCCAACTTAATTGGGGAGTTAGTTGATCTAGGAAAGGTTGGTTCCAACCAGGTAGGGCTCTCTAATACGAATATTTACTTGAAGGAGTCTTTACCGAACTTAAAAAGATGAAATCTATGGTTTGGAGGGTCTAGGGGTAAAATGGTCTTTTTCCTGGCTAAGGGTAGTATCGTAATTGCCCTAAATATATAATTAATTATTTAATCAATAAAGTGGATGGGTAGTTTGGGGAGAGAGGGCCGAAATTGGGCTCTTGAATTGAAGTCTTGTTCCACCCGGGTTCGAACCTAGGTGGAAGCAATGAATTAAATTATTTTTAATTTAAGTTGGTAAATGAATGTAATTAATTTTTATTTACTAGCTGATTTAAAATAAAAGAAAATCATATTTTAATGTTTAAATAAAAACCTTAGTTAATTAAATCCTAAACTGGACTCCTAATCCTAAGAAAATTCTTCTCTCCCACGCTCATCTCTCTCTCACGTCTCTATCACTCTCACTCACGACTATATCTTCTAAATAACTTCAAAAATAGTAGGTAAATCAAAGTTCTTCACACTTGAAGAACTTACGACGGAAATATAAGAAAACAAATGAAATCAATCACGTAGTGCGTCGAGTTGGTGTTTACATTGATGGGATTTAGACATGATATTTTTGAGAAGATTTTGGCAGAAAATCGAGGTATGAACGTTACAAAGGTATCGGTTTTCTTACTCGTTTTCCCTTTCCCAAGAGACCCTTAAGGCTCAGATGAATCTACTCGAAAAATAAGGTTGTTCCCGTTCTTTTTGAACTCCTTGTCCCTAGTATCCCTTTGATCACAATATGAAATAGGTTAGAGATCATGTTGTTTGTATGTTTGCTGGTAATTTAAGTATGAAGTTTGATTTTCGTGATAATGTGTTCTAGATTATGTGTTTGGAATTGTAACCATGTTAAGTTATGTCAACCGAAAGAATGTGAAAATGATTTTATGATTGAATTTTATGTGCGAATATTTGTGTAAATCATGAGGGGTAACAATGTTGTAATGTTTCTGGATGAAATGGTAGTTCTTGGCTGAATATAATCATAAAAAGATTACACTTAAATATGCAGAAAATGATCCACGAAATGCCTTAAGAATTAACGTATGAATGATGACTAAAAGAAGTTGAAAATAGTGAACAAATTTCTAGCATTTGGTAGGTTGGGTTCGGCCAAAAAAAATGGCACAAAATGCAATGAAAAATGAATGTAAAATAATTGATATCACTAAGTATTGAACCTAAGACATCATTACATGAAAGATACAAATAAAATCAACAAAAAATTAAGACTAAAACGGAATGGAAGTGATTATATTTCCAGCCTGCAAACTTTTAACTAAATGAGCTTCGTTTCATTTTTTTAAAATGTGAGGTCATTGGGAATTGAAACCATTACCACTAAATGAAAATTTCATAAAAAATTCGTGAGTAAAATGCAAGGATAAATAGATGTGGTGAGTGTGGATTGAACCCACAACCTGTTGAATGGATGAGAGAGTTAGGAGAAAAATAAAGGAGAAAATAAATGAGAAAGAGTGGGATTGAACCCCCAACCTCTTGGATAGGTGAGAAAGCTAAGAGATAAAATAAAAGAACAATAATAAGTTTGTGGGAGATTGAACCCACAACCTCCTTGACTTAAACGAAAAAGGAGAGGAGAAAAAGAAAAGAAAATATTATGGGGTTAATAGGGATCGAACTAGGGTCACCCAAATCGGAAAAATGAGATTATCAACTTTAAAATAAGATTATGTATTTTCCAAGGGATTCAAAATCGGGTTCCTTTTCCCAATTCCGTAATTACACATACGTCATACATCATTAAATATTTCATGAATGCTACCTCTAAAGATCGAAATCAATATCTTGTCATATCTACAAGAAGCATAAGTCTCGTAATACATAATCTTGGGTAAATATGAATCACTTAGACAAACTATAAATGAATCCCCATGGCTCGTATGTACAGACCCATAAGTATAGCAGATGTTTAAAAGTAAGTGAACCTAAGATGTATGTAATAAAAAGATGAAACCCTAGAAGGGTTAAGTACGAGTATAAAATATACTAAATGGCCAACTGCATTGGCATATGATGAAATTAACAATGTAATAATGAAATGAATGATTAAAACATGAAATGACCAATGAAATGATCAAACCCTAGAAAGGTTAAGTAAGAGTGTGAAACACACCAAATGGCCAAGTGCATGACCATATGATGAAATGAACATCACTTAATAAAAAGAGTTGAGTAACTATGAAGAGCAAATGTGCTAATGATAATGAATGTGGTGACAACATTATATGAGTCTAATGTAAAGGAAGAGAGCAATCTCAAATGAGCCTAGGTAAATATTACCAAAATGTACTCACCTATGAGAGTGTAAAGTCAATCAAGAGACAAGTCTATTGACTCTCTATTGAAAGTATTGAGATTAACAAATTGAATAATAATGATTAGATGATAAATCATCTATTAAGCTATGATGTCATCATACTACAAGCCAACTTCCATGATGTATGAGTTAAATGTGATGGAACTTTATACTGAGAACCGATAGACTAGCTATGAGCGGTGATGCCTTCTTTCGGGAAGGGCGGAGGTTCACGTAACTCTCATCATATGATACTATCTGGTATGCCGGGTATGGGTCTCCTTATATCTCCCAGTCTTCGAACCTATACTGCCACTTTAGGGATTCGTCGGGGTTCAATTTCCCTGTATGCTAGCATGTTTTGGGTCACTTTGGTCGGTGATTCCACCTCTTTTTTGTGTGGGGTTTCATGACAATGGATTTCATGATGCTCACATGATTTATGTCGGTTAAAGTTATAGTTATCAATGAATGAATAAGGTCAGCCTCAAATGATGCACATAATAAAACAAATGATAACAAAGGTATTAGGATTAGATAATAAATATGTGAGTTAGATATAAGTAATGACATTAGGTTATTCCTGGTCACTGCACAATGAACCCGATGAAAGTCTTAAACTACATCCTTGGTATAGCTGGTGTTTGCAATGGCCCATGAATGAAATGAAATGAAGTACGTATGAGTGAATGAAGCAGACTCTGTGTTTTCTAAAGAAGACTCCCTAGTTGAGTTCCCATATGTTGAGCCCTCATTATTGGTAAGTCTTAATGTAAAGTCCATGATTCAAAGGTCTCATGGCATACAAATGAATGATATAAACAACATAATGTGTTAAATGAATGATGATATGTTCTATGTGTACATTTTTGTGTGTTGTGTGAAAAATGTTAATTATGATGATGCATGTTATTCTTATGGTATAAATTTCCTAATCCAAATTTGGAAAGCTCATAAACTTTCCTAATCCAAATTAGGAAAGCACACTCGCTTGCCTAATGTCAATTTGGCAAGTCCACTGACTTGACCTTCTACAATCATGTTGTTAGTAAAGATCTATTCTTACTCATGCATAACCTTGGTGGGTGATTGCATATACAAATACTTAGTACAAGTGTGTACTAACCCTATACAATTCTAAACTCTTAGGTGCAGGCACAGGTTGACACTAGAGATAAATGATAAAGGTTTCAGCTATTCGGACGTCAAGCATTCATCTAGACTTGGTAAGCCCTCATGCTTTTGAGTATGCTTGACCATTATATTCTAGTTTAGTTATATTTATGAGCTAGTGGAGTATGTTCAACTAGCGTTTCTTTCCGCTTTTGTTTAAAAATTGTATTGGTGCCATTTTGTATGTATACATTTAATATTATCTTAAACTATTTCTTTCATTAATGATCTTAATGTTATATGGTTGATTGTGAACAATTATGAATCTAATAGAATGATTAGTATGTACGTTAAGGAATTAAATGTTTCAAATTTTTCGCTAAAATTTACCTAGACGAAGTAAGAAAGACGTAAGTAGGCTTGTCTGCGACCTTTGAGAGGTCAACGACGCCGGTCTCGTCCGGCGTCTAGACTCCGATCTTGACAAAGTTGGTATCTGATATCGCTAGGTTAAATTCCAAGGATTATAAGTTCACATCAACCACATTGAGTAGTTTCTAAGTCATGGAAGTGAAGTGCACCACTATCCTGAATTAGATACTTACATGATGCGTAGAAAAATTCCCTTTTTTTAATCTTATCATGCCTTCTCTACTATCTGTTTCTTGCTGTTAAGAGTGTATCTAACATCAACTCCTGAGAATCAAAATGATGAATACGAGGATAAACGAAGGCAGATAAACAAGGTGTTCCTAGAGAGAACCCACGTCCCAGCACCATGGCTAGCAAGTTAAGGGACTTCAAGATGATGAATCCTCCAATTTACACTGGATCTAAGACTGATAAGAATCTCGAAGAGGACTGTAGGGTAGCTATATTGCATGCCAGCATGGTCCTTTCCAGTCTTATTGTCCATGTCCAACAAGTGAAGGAAAACAGGAATCAGAAGCATACTAGGGCAGGGAACAACTAGAGACAAGCTGAGAAGAATTTTTCAAGGAAGATTATACTGAAATCAGGGATAAGCCCGGGTTTAAGAAGGGACTTCCCACAAAGAGGAGTCAAGTTCGTCCAAGGATCGCTGTGATAGGGATTCCAAGCCTAGAGTCTAGAGTAGGAAGTGTGTCAAACTTCATTGAGGAGAGTGTATGAGGCGCTCTAATGCTTGTTAGATTTGTACCAAACTGGGCCACATGGTGAAGGATTGTCCGAATAGTTGAAGTCAAGAACAAGGGATGGAGAGAGTTCAACCTAATGGTCAAAGTGAAGAGGCTCCATGAAGGCAACGATTCTTCGCACTCAAGTCTAAGGGTGCAGGGGAAGGCAACTCTGGTGAAGTCTAGGGTGCGTAGCCTTAATTAGTCTTTCATGTATTTGAGTGTGTATGGTGTTTATGCACTACTATGAAGTTAATATATTTGAGTCATCATATTGGTTGCTGATTTGTATGAATTACTTGTTAATTTATGTTGTATGCTTCGATGAGACTAGTTTAGGAAAGAGTTCATTAGACTATTCATGTAAAGCTACTAGTAGGTTTAAAAGATGTGCATCATCATGTTAATATGTGAATCAGATATTCACCAATGGGGAGTACCGAATTACCTATGTACGCATACATTGTATAGAGGACTTACTTATTGTTAGTAAAGAGTACTCTAATTCGGAGAAGAATGTTCCTAAGGGGGGATAATGTAACAACCCATACAAATGGATATAGTAAGTGATACTTTATGTGTCAAGAATGCCTATGATTAGATCAGGGTTCACACGGATTGATGCACGTAGAACTTGACTTTTGAACCGTTGCTACATCCATTACAACTAACTTGGGGAGTTAGTTTAGCTAGGAAATGTCGGATCTAACCATGTAGGGCTCTCGAATACGAAGATTTACTCGAAGGAGTCTTTACCGAACTTAGAAAGAGAGTATCGTAGGTTTGTAGGATCTAGGGGTAAAATTGTCTTTTTCCTGGCTAAGGGTAGTATCGTAATTACCCTAAATATATAATTAATTATTTAATTAAAAAGGTGGATGGGTATTTTAGGGAGAGAGGGCCGAAATTAGGCTCTTGAAGTGAAGTCTTGCTCCACTCGAGTTCAAACCTAGGTGGAAGCAATGAATTAAATTATTTTTAATTTAAGTTGGCAAATAAATATAATTAATTTATATTTATTATTTATTAGATGATTTAAAATAAAATTAAATCATATATTTACTAGTTAAATAAAATACTTAATTGACTAAATCCTAAAGTAGACTCCTAATCCTATGAAAACTCTTCACTCCCACGCTCATCTCTCTCTCTATCACATCTCTATTACTCTCACTCATGATTATATCTGCAAAATTACTTCAAAAAACAATAGATAAATCAAAGTTCTTTAGACTTGAAGAACTTACAACGAGAATATAAGAAAACAAACGCAATCAATCACGTAGGCAAGGAGAAGTTTGTACATCGAGTTGTTCTTGACTTTGATGGTATTAGAACATGATTTTGGGAGAATATTTTGGAAATCCAAACGAGGTTTGAACGTCACAAAAGGTATGGGTTTTCTAACTCTTAGTCCCTTTCCCAAGAGATCCTTAAGGCTCAGATGAATCTACTCGAAAACTAGGGTTGTTCCCGTTCTTGTCAAACTCCTTGTCCCTAGTATCCTATTGATCTCAATGTGAAATAGGTTAGAGATCATGTTGTTGGTATGTTTTCTGGTAGTTTAAGTATGTAGTTTGATTTTCGTGATAATGTGTTCTTGATTATATGTTTGGAATTGTAACCATGTTAAGTTATGTCAACCGAAAGTATGTGAAAATATTTTTATGGTTGAATTTTATGTGCAAATATTTGTGTAAATCATGAGGTTTAACAGTGTTGTAATGTCGCTGCATGAAAGGGTAATTCTTGGCATAATATAATCATAAAAAGATTACACTTAAAGATGCAGCAAATGATCCACGAAATGCCTTAAGAATTAACGTATGAATGATGATAAAAAGAAGTTGAAAATAGTGAACAAATTTCCAACATTTGGTATGTTGGGTTTTGCCGAACAAAATGGTACAAAATGAATGAAATATGAACGTAAAATAAGTGAGATCACTAAGCATTGAACTAGAGACATCATTACATGAAAGCTCCAAATAAAAAAAAATATTTAAGACTAAAATGGATTGGAAGAGACTAAATTTCCAGCCTGCTGGAAATTGTAGTCTTGTCCAACATTTAATTAAATGAGCTTCGTTTCAAATATTTTTAAAATGTAATATTATTATGGATTAAAAACCATGACATCGCTAAATGAAAATTTCATTAAAAATTTTGTGAGTAAAATGCAAGAAAAAATAGATATGGTGAGTGGGGATTGAACCCACAACCTGTTGGATGGATTAAAGAGTTACGAGAAAAATAAAGGAGAAAATAAATGAGGAGAGTGGGATTGAACCCACAACCTCCTTGACTTAAACGGAAAAAGAGAGGAGAAAAAGAAAGGAAATAATATGGGGTTGATGGAGATCGAACTAGGGTCCCCCAAATCTGAATAATGTGATTATCAAGTTTAAAATAAGACTAAGTATTTTCCAAGGGATTCAAAATCAGGTTCCCTTGCTCAATTCCTTATGGACACATAAGTCACACTCAAGTAAATATTTAATGAATGCTACCTCTAAAGATCAAAATCAATATCTTGGCATATCTACAAGAAGCATAAGTCTTGTACCACATAATCTTAAGTAAATATGAATCACTTAGACAAACTATGGATGAAGCCCCATGGCTTGTAATTATAGACCTTTAAGTCTAGCATACTTTTCAAAGTAAGTTAACCTAAGATGTATGTAATGAAATGATGAAATCCTAGAAGGGTTAAGTACGAGTGTAAAATATACTAAATGGCCAAGTGCATTCACATATGATGAAATGAATAATGAAATGATGAAAAGAATAATTAAATGATGAAATGAACGATTAAATAATGCAACCCTATAAGGGTTAAGTAAGAGTGTGAAACACACCAAAATGCCAAGTGAATTAGAAGTTGATGAAATGAACATTCACGTAAAATAGATTTCAGTAACTATGAAGAGCAAGTGTGCTAATGATAATGAATGTGGTGACAACATTATATGAGGCTAATGGAAAATGAGCCTGAGTAAATGTTACCAAAACATACTCACCTATGAAAATGTAACGTTAATGAAGAGACCAGTATCTATGAACACTCTAATGAAAGAATTGAGATTAAAAAACTTAATACTAATGATGAGATGAGAAACCATCTTTTTAGATATGATGTCCTCATACAAGAAGCCAACTTCCATTATGTATGAGTTGAATGTATTGGAACATTATACTTAGCAGTGATAGACTAGCTATGAGTGTTGATGCCCTCTTTCCGGAAGGGCGGAGGTTCATGTAACACTCATGAGATGAGAGTGACTTACATGCCAGGTATGGGTCTCCTTATATCTCCTAGTCTTCGAACCTATACTGCCAATATAGGGATCTGGCAGGGTTAAATTCCCCTGTATGCTAGCATGTTTTGTGTCACTTTGGCCGTTGATGCCATCTTTTTTCAGTGTGGGGTTTCATGACACTGGATATCATGATGCTCACATGATCTATGTCGGTTAAAGTTAAAGTTCCAAATGAATGAATGAAGTCAGCCTCAAATGATGCACATAATGAAACGAATGATACCAAAGGTATTAGGATGGGATATTCAAGTAATGAAATTAGGTCATTCCTGGTCATTGCATAATGAACCCGATGAAAGTCTTAAACTACATCCTATGTATAGCTGGTGTTTACAATGACCCATGAGTGAAATGAAATGAAGTACGTATGAATGAATTAAGTAGACTCTGTGTTTTCTAAAACAGACTCCGTAATTGAGGTATTATATATTGAGCCGTCATTTTCGAGAAGTCTTAATGTCAAGTCCATGATTCCAAGGTCTCATGGCATATGAATGAATGATATGAACAACGTTATGTTTTATATGAATTCTTATATGAACTATATGTATGTTGTTGTGTGCTGTGTGCAAAATGTTAAGTATGATGATGCATGTTACTCTCATGGAATAACTTTCCTAATCCAAATTTGGAAAGCTCAAAAACTTTCCTAATCTAAATTTGGAAAGCTCACTGACATTCCTAATCTCAATTTGGAAAGTCCATTGACTTGACCTTCTAAAATCATGTTGTTAGGAGAGAGATATTCTTACTCATGCATGTCCTTGGTGTGTTCTTTGATATACCCATACATAGTACAAGTGTGTACTATCCCTATACAATTCTAAAATTTTAGGTGCAGGCACAGGTTGATGCTAGAGATACAGGATCAACGCTACAGCTATCCGGACGTCGAGCATTCAGCCTGACTTGGTAAGACCTCATGCTTTCGAGGATGCTTGCCCATTAAATTCTATCTTAGTTATAAGAGTAGCTAGTGGAGTTTGTTCCACTAGCGTTTCTTTCCGCTTTTGTTCAAACATTGTATTGGTGCCATTTTTGCAAGTATACATTTAATGCTATATTTAACTATTTAATTCATTGATGGTCTTAATGTTAGATGGTTGATGATGAATAATTATGAATCTAATAGAATCATTAGATGTATGTTAAGGAAAAAAAGTTTCAAATTTTCCGCTAAAATTAACCTAGACGAAGTAAGAATGACGTAAGTAGGCTTGTCTGCGACCTCTGAGAGGTTAACGATGCCAGTCTTGTCTGTGGTCTAGACTCCGGTCGTGACACTTACAACATTCATAATCGTAACATAGTAAAATACTCAATATCATAACCAAGAACAACTCTTCAAATCATACACAAGATCAATACATATTGTAGGTTAAAGGAAAGGGTAATTTAAGAGTTCATTCTAGTCTTAGTTCCAATCCTTATGTTTTCATATGGTCAACTAGTAGAACAATCATACGAAACCATAATCTGGATAAGAACATTCTTCTCACGAATTTCAATCATAAATAACAACATAATCATCAATTCCTGTGAAATAGACCATAGAAAACACTAATTTTTCATTGAAAATCATAAATCTAGGGTTAGGAAGAAAATCCATTTTGTGGAGTAGAAACATTAGTACGTGAAGTTCATTAAAACCATCTGTGAAAGGACATCTTGGCAAAAAGAATATCAAGAGTGAAGAACCCATACCTCATATATGAAAAATCCACAAAAATTGGGTGAAAAGCTTGAAGTCTTCGTCTTTTTCTTTAAGCTCTTCTTCCTCTTCAATGGAGTTTGGAAAAGATAGCGTTCTTGAGAGAGATGAGAGAAAACTTGTTTGATCTGATTTGGGACTTGTAAAAATGGTCTAAAACTGACATAATATCAATATATAGTCGTCCTATGAATTACCCAAAAGACCCTCCACTTAAATGGGTCATTTTAAGAACTTAAATTACCCAAAAATACGACTTTAACGATCATGGGAAGTAATTGAGTGTCTAAGGGCCATATCCCATCATTTTTTATTAAATTTTGAGTTGACACAGTGAGGTGAATTTAATCCTCGCATCACGAGGCTTCCTCTCAAATCTTGAGAGATTGACCCACGTGAGGAACGGGCATCGCGTATTTGTTCCTCCAAGTCTGCCTATTCGTGGGCTGCCAGACAGCCTGCCCACCCATGTTTGGATCTTACCCATGGACCCTTCGGGTGTTCCTTGGGGTGTAGTTACCGGACTCTTGGACCCTTTGTAATACATACTACCTATCCAAGGTCTATTTACAAGTTTTAGACTTTATTTGCCACATCAAAACCTTCACTAAACATAGGGACGTCAACTAGTTCAAATTAGCTGGTTTCAGGACGTCAAGGTCTTTCTGTGTCTTTTTGGTGGTGACCTTTTCCAAATGAGTTTATTATATTAGTATATTTATTGAAACATAAATTTAAACATTATTTAATAGATTAATATCTAGTCTAAGTCATGACATTTCCGGAGTGTTACATACCCCCCTCCCCTTAGGAGCATTCATCCCCGAATGACACTAAAATCATTTGGAGGTGAGGAATAGACTCAATACTAGAAGCCCGACCAATCAACAACATAAAATAAAAATGAGTCAAAACTTATAGGAGTATATAACAACTCCACATAACACATACTATAACATTACACATTGCACTCAATTCATGATGAACAACATATAAGAGCTCCATATTCATAACACTTAGTGAGGAATTTCCTTCTCAACCATATCATAAGCTAAAAATGCATCAAAAAGTTACCATGCTATCGTTCTTTTCAATACAACAACAAGACAAAAAAATCTCAAGAAGACACATGCATACATATTTCACATATATGCAAGAATAGAGTATGAAGGCAATTCCTGAAAAATCTAGTTGGCACAACTTTTACTAAACATGCACCAAGTTATGAAAACAAGTTAATTTTATGATTATTCATTCATTTTTGTATCAAGAGGAATGTCTAACCTTAAGGTAAAAAGATGAGGGTAACGTAACTTCATGTCGGCTTCAGCCTCCTATGTTGCCCCCTCGACAAAATGGTTCCTCCATATAACTTTTACAGAGACAACCTCCTTGTTCCTCAACTCGTTTACTTGGCAATCTATGATCTCAACCGGAACCTCTTCATAAGATATATTCTCATCCACCCCTAAACCTTCAATGGGAGGAATGGAAACCGGGTCGTCTATGCATTTCTTAAGAATAAAAACATGAAATACAGGATAAACTGAAGCTATTCACTAGGTAGTTTCAAATCATAGGTAACCTTCCTAAATTGTTGTAAAACCTCATAAGGACCAACACACCGGGGACTTAACTTCCCCTTTATACTGAAACTCATCACCCCTTTCATAGGTGAAATATTCAAATAGACATGATCACCTATTTCAAACTCAAGATGTCTTCTTGTATTGTCGGTATAAGAATTTAGCGGACTATAGGTTGTCTTCAATCTATCTCTTATGATTTGAAACTTCTCTATAGCCTCATGGATAATCTCTGGACCAAGGAGTGAGGACTCACCAACCTCAAACCATCCAACCAGATATCTACACCTTCTACCATAATGATCTTTAAAAGGTTCCATGGAGATGCTCGAATGATAGGTATTTTTGTAAGAGAACTCGATCAAAGGTAAGTGACAATATCAACTTCCCTTGAAATCAATAACATAGGATCTTCACATGTCTTCGAGGGTAAGAATGGTACGCTCCGCTTGACCATCTGTATGGGGATGAAAGGCAAGGGTAAGTTCCACTAGAGTACCTAAACCCTTTTGAAAACCCTTCAAAAAACGAGATGTGAATTGGGCGCCTCTATCCAAAATGATGGACAAAGAAATCCCATGAAGATTTAGAATCTCATATTTTAGATCCTTGCATAATCTTATCCCTGTAATTGGACTTAACGGGAATAATATGGACAAATTTGGTCAACCTATCCACAATAACCCATATTGAATCATTTTCCTTCTGGTTCGAGGAATCCCAACAATAAAATCCAAATTGAAGGTTTCCCACTTCCATGTAGGAACATTCATGATTAGGGTTAAACCACTCTATTTAAGATGCTCAACTTTAGCTTGTCGGTAGTTTGGATACTTAACATCAAATTCAGCTATGTTCCTTTTTTAAACCATCCCACCAATAGATGTATCTAAGGTCATGATACATTTTGGTGGCACTTGAATGTGTAAAATAGTTAGAACCATAAGCTTCTTCCATAATTTGATTTCTAAAATCCTCAACATCGGGTACACATAATTGTGAGGTTGTGGAGCCTGATTAATATTTGATGTACTGTAATATATTAATGTACTCCATATATTCTCTATAACTAAAAATGCTCTGATTTATGAATATATATTCACACCCCACCGCCATGGAATTTTACTCACGGGGTGTTACCACGAAATATTGGTTTCTCTCTTTCTCTCTTTAGATATCTCATCTCTTTTTCTTGAAAGTTCTTTTGTTATTCATTCATCAAGTGTGTGTGTGTCGATTTGATCCTAACAATTGGTATCATAGCTAAGGAGATTCGACAAGATCATTGAAGATGGATAGTTCAAAGCTTTGAATCGAGAAGTTACATGGATTCGATTTTAGTTTCTCGAAGATGAAGATCGAAGATTATCTGTACCAGAAAGATCTTCACGAACCGTTTACCGGGGTGAAGCTGGAATCCATGACGGAGGAGAAGTGGAAGATCAAGGATCGCCAGGCTCTAGGTTTGATCCGGTTGACATTGTCAAGAAATGTGGCGTTCAACATCGTGAAGTAGAAGAGTACGTCCGATCTGTTGAAGGCACTGTCAAACATGTATGAAAAACCATGGGCGATGAACTAGGTATATTTGATGCGTAGATTGTTCAATTTATAGATGTCTGAGAATGGATATGTTTCTGATCATATAAACGAGTTCAATATGATTGTGATTCAAGTCAATTATGTGGATATTAATTTCGAAGATTAAATTAAGGAGTTTATTTTGATGTCATCTCTGCCTGAGTCTTGGGATACATTTATTGCTGCGATTAGCAGTTCCTATGGATTTGAGAAATTGAAGTTTGATGAAATCCGTGATGTTGTTCTTAGCAAAAGTATTTGCAAACGAGAAGTGGGGATTCATCAGGCAGTGATCTCAGCGTTGACTGAAGGGGGAGAAGTAAGACGAAAGGCCAAAATAAACATGGTCGATCAAAATCAAAGAATTGAAGAAAATCCCCGAACAGATCAAACGTGACTTGTTGGAATTGTGGAGAAAAAGGTCACTTTCAGACGAGCTATACAAAGAAACAAAGAAATAGAATCAGAAATTTGGAGATGACAATGAATCTGTAAATTCAGCAGAGGACATTGGGGATGCTGTAATCCTTAATGTGAACAAGCCGGTTGAATCATGGATTTTGGATTCTGGTGCATCTTTCCATTTGTCTCCAAGCAAGAGTTGTTCAAAAATTTCAAATCTTCAAATTCTGGAAAGGTATATCTTGCTGACAATAAAGCCCTAAAGATTGAAGGAAAGGGGAATGTTTGCATAAAGACCACCTCGGGAAACTAGTGGTCATTGGAGAATGTAAGATATATTCCTAAGCTCAAGAAAAATATGATCTCTATTTGTTAGTTGGATATAACGGGATATGCAACAGAGTTTGGGAAAGGTTCGTTGAAGATTGTGAAAGGATCTATGGTAGTAGCTCATGGTACCAAATCTGGAACCTTGTACACCACTGTAGGGTGTATTAACATGGCCGTTGTTGTTGAATGTGCTTTCGGTTCATGTATGTGGCACAACAGACATGGACACATGTGTGCCAAAAAGAATGAAGATATTTGTTGCAAAGGGGGCATTAGAGGGTCTGAATTCTGTTGATATGGGTTTTTGCGAGAGTTGTGTTATGGGAAAACAGAAAAGAGTAAACTTCACAAAGACTCCTAGAGAGCCAAAGAAAGTGTGGTTAAAAATGGTCCATACAGATGTTTGGGGACCATCTCCAGTATCATCACTAGGAGGATCCATA